TGAGGCTGGGTTTCAGAGGTTCATCACAGTCAGGGTTAGAGCTGATGTATGGTGCAGGAGGGAGCCATGATAGTAGATGAATGACATCTTTTAATTAAATTAATCTGGCAACATTGCAGAGGTGAGACTAGGAGAAGAGTCTGGAGTCATTAAACTTACTGTATTGATTCATGTCTGTGGTGCTATCTGGTGGTCCGTAATCCTGGTGGGAATTGAGAAGGCTCCATCCAATTTAAAAAGGGACTAGCCATAAGAGTGAGGAGAATTCAGATGTTAGAAATTATTTCACAAAGTGCTATTTTGTTCCTCAGTTAGTCCCTTCCCTCTCATGTGGTTATTTATGAAATCATCTCAGATATTTGCTGCTGCTGTTGATGTCCCTAAACTGCTTAACATTTTGTTGTCTCATAAATGATGGTCTCCGTAACCTCTCCCCATCTATACTTCATTTTTCCTTTTAATCTTAAACTAAAGATGTGCTTCTCAGGCACTCTGTTAATTAGAATCTCGGTGGTGAAGCTCACATAGTGGTGTTGTAATTACTTCTCTGTATCGTCTTAATTTTTTTCCCCCTTGTTCCCACCTGGAAGTGAAAATATCTGTTCAACTTCTTGATCTCAGCAATTAGTTAAGTGGTTTGCAGCTGGTTATCTGGGGGTGGGCTCAAACGTTTAATCATCTCTGCTCAGGTCTGAATGGGAATCTTCTTGAGAAGCAACACCTGTAATTAGTGTGTAGTTGCAAGAAAGTGCTTCTGGAACAGTGGTTCTCAAAGTTTGGTCCCCAGACAAGCAGCAGTATCTGGGAAGCTGTCAGAAATGTAAATTCCCAGGGCCCGACCCCAGCCCTACTAAATCAGAAACTCTGGAAGCGACCTGTCAATGTTTTAATAAGCCTTCCAGGTACATGCTAAAGTTTGAGAACCACTGTCCTGGAGAAATATCTCCACTAGGTTGAGCAGCCAGACTCAGGGAGTTAGGAAAACAGACTTCAGAAAACACCAGAGTTTAGAGGCTGAGAAGACAGGGCAATTACTACCCTTTTGGTGATGATGCAGATATCCAGAGGAACACCTGCTGGAAGTGAGTTTTTTTTGTCCTTAGTCCCTGCCCCTTGAAAGAAAACCTGGCTAGCCATTGTTTGCCCTGTGCTTTGGAAAGACAAGGTCTTAGGTCAGTTTCAGGAAGGACTATTGGATCTTCCCGCTCAGGGGTCTTCATTGGATATTATGTTGTTAAATAGATGAAGAAAGAGATATATTTGCCATTCTGAGTGAGTCTCCTTTTCCTCTATAGACGTCTAAATACTAAAGATGCGCTTATTGGATGGTCAAGAGGAAATAAGACGACTCTCCTACACTGAATATTTAAAACACAAGCAGCTCTTTATTGAGGTTCTTTTGAAGGTGTCCCAATCATAGAGTCCTGGTGAAAACACTAAACTTGTCTAAGGTTTTAGTATCACATTTGACCCATGGACTGTGGGAGTCTAAGAATGAGGAGTCCATCAGCTAACCAATTATCTTGTGTCCTCTAATTGGTAAATCATTAGTTTAACCAGGAACAATTTAGGGAAAGTCCATTTACTACTGCCAGGATCAGAACCAGTATCCCTATTTCAGTTCTTAAAACTCCACTTTTTTTTTTTATTGGCAACATATATCCACATACAGCCTATTCGGATGTGGGCATGCCTCGTAAGAACGGCAATCCAAATTTAAGTGTGTACTTCGGAGTCACTTTCTTTTGTGTTAAAAAAAAAAGTGATTTCTTTTCTAGCTCTTGAAACTTCTGTGTATCTAGACAGGGAACTCTCTTATTGTACATGAGAAGGAGAAGCAGTTTGTATTTCATTTTCTACCCTACAGTGAGCATTAATCATTAAGATAAAAATCTCTTTGGGAGGAAAATAAATCCTGGCTGATATGGCCAGCCCTTTTATTGTTGAATTATATATTTTCTTTTTATAAGATCAGTGAACTTCTCTGTGGGTTGTTTCCATTTAGGGAATGAAATGATGGGGCTTTAGAATCTCCACTCTGTGGTCTCTGATTGTGTGAGTTTGTAGACTGCAGGCACTCAGAAGATTTATCTCAGAGGGGATCCTGATAAACAGTTCTATTGCCACTTGAGAAAACTAGGCAGGACATTTCTCCTTGGACTCTCGTGGCAAGCAGGAAAGAGCTAAAAGGGATAGAAAACAGATTTCCTCATCACTCTGGTCCTACCTGGGTCACAGAGGCTGGGCCTCTTTTATCCCAGAGTTTTCTGCTTCTCTTCGTCTCTTCTATCTTAACAGAGCGTACCCATACCATTGGCAAGCTTCAGCCAGAGGACAATCTGCTAGCACCAGCAGTATAGTATACTCCTTTTCTTTTTTCAGCCTAAAGTCTAGGACTCAAGGAATACTATGAAACAGTGGTTAAATCAGTTCAAAATTTTTGAAAGAGTATTAAGGAAAAGGTTTGATATGGTTTCAGCTCTGTTCTCTGTAAATCAGGGATGCTGTTGAGGTATATTTTTCAACACAGTGTCCTTTAGCAGAAAGCCCTCTCATTGCTGCCTTTGCATATGGGCAATAGAGGAGGGAACAGCAGGAATTACAAGGAAGGAAAGGATCAATGGGAAGAAGTTGCTACAGTCTGATTCCTTACGTTCTTTTGAACATATGGAGGAAAAGGCCATTTATGTGGAACCAAAATATCCTCAACGGCATTGAGCTAACATCTTTTCCCCCACTATCCCATTCCCTTCCACAGCCTAGCAAGTGTTTTACCTATTAGATAGATTTTAAGTTTACTACAAAATTTACCGCAAAGGCCATGGAATTAATGGGAGCTAGGAAATTCACAGGACATCCAAATATATTGTGTGGGCAATAGTAAGGTTATTGTTTGACCTTGGTGAAGTGATAGTGGGTTTTCCATAGTAGACTTGGGAACCAAGACTTTCTCTCTGTCCCTTTGACTATGACTCTCAATCTTGATGAATATGAATTTAAATGCACAGTTAAGTCACTCCTGGTACAAGTAAAACCATGAGTGCAGCATTTACCAACAGAGCTTCCCACCCTCACTCTTGATCACTCTCTTACACACACACACACACACACACACACCATTCATTTATCAGTAGCACATCATACCAGTGGCTTATGTAGCACAGAGATGCATTGTCTCTTCCCTTGGAATCTGTAGTGGATTTCTGGTCAACCTAGTTCATGTACTTCTTTTCACTGTGACTAGAGAAGCTAAGAACTCTGACACCTGTGGACCTTGTGGGTCTTGTTTTTGACATGAAACAAAACACCATCCTGGCTTGGGGATTGCAGAAGTGTCTCTTATTAACTCTAGGTCTGGATTTTCCTTTTTTCATTTAAATTAATACCCAAGTAGGGGAGGAGGTAAAGAGCAGTGGTTTAGCTTTTGTGCTCCTCACTCCTTCCAGCATTGGACTAAGCAAATTCCATGCTGTCTTCCCTCCCACTTCCCCACCTTAGCAAAAACCTAGAAGTTGTCATTTCCTTTATAAAAGAAATGTTTTTCAGCGTTTGCTTTTCCTTTAGTCTGCTTAGTTGGTAAATGCAAATGTAGGTAACCTGCTCCTCCTCCCCCCCATGCTTGTCTGGAGGTTTTCCCACCTATTTGTGATTTAGGAGTGACAAAGGGCATGTTTGACTTGTAATAGAGATGAAGAATGGATAAATTCAGTGCATGTAATATGATTGGAGAGTCCCATAGACCGACCCACCATGCCTCTATGTGGGCCCTGCATTCCCATACTGCACAGATTCCTGCCTGTTGAACAACCAAGCATTGTCCTCGCAGAAGTACAACTATACTAACTGGTATTGCGTATAGCAATTCCCAAAGTGGTGGTACTCGGAAATCCTCCATCCTGCACTTCTCAAGCTAGCCCTCTCCTGGCCCAAAGGTCCACGTTGCTTTCCATCCAGGGAAAGTATTTTGCTTCTCCCCATACTCCCTCCCCTTTCCCCACCTCATCCTCTTTATGTTTCTGTCCTGAGTGTTACCATTTGCTTACTGATAACAGTCTACTATGAATTTTCATTCACAGCTTTGAGATGCTTATGAGGCTTTCCTGCTTCCCACCCAGCCCCAAACTTGGGACTTTTTACACACTGATCCTCTGATCAGTTTGACATGGGAAAGCCCATGGAAGCCATGTACCAGTTTGTATAGCAGTACCCTTTTAAAAAACTGTCTACTCTTGAACAAAGTAGAGTGTGCTGGGGGTTCGAATTGGCTGCTTGACACACACAAAGCCAATTAACTTGCATGCCAAAAAAAGAAAAAAATTAACCCTTAGAGTACTGCTTCAACATTTTGGTTTAATGGTCTTGAACTTTACCAGTTGAGCAATCCTTCTTTCTCCAGATCAGAGTGCTATACATCAAGTCCGTACTTAGTCTAGCCAGAACATCAACCAGGATCCTCTCCTCCACAGCTTTCCTGAGATGCTCCTGGGTCCTTTATTATTCATCAACCGATGGCTTTCAAGAGGTCTCAAACACAGCCACTGAGTTTAACTGAAAATGGGCTCTACTTCTAATGTGCTAGAGGGTGTGAGGGACTATTTTGAGCTTTGGTATATGTCCTCTAAAAGAAAGAAGTCAGTTCTTTAAGGGTTAATGTGAAATTAAGGAATTTGATGGTCTCTCCTGCTTGTCCTTCCTCCAAGGTATCTGCATGATCCTTTTTAGATTCTTAGCTCAACTGTTGAATGATGATAAAAATAATATATATATATATATAAATATATAACTACAAAAACAAATAAAAGAATAAAAGACTAAATGGTTGAATGGAAAGACCCCTTGGCCATGCTTGCTTGATCATCACAGAGGGTAGAAAGACCAAATGTTTTAGTCAATAAAGATTCATTTTGTCCTCTACCCCAAGCACCACTGCCACACATTATGTGCAAGACGTGATGATGCTTTTCATTTACCTCTTGCTTTTTTTTCTTCCTGTCTAATAGCCCAATAGAATCCTGCCAGAATTTCTACAAAGATTTCACATTACAGATCGACATGGCTTTCAACGTGTTCTTCCTTCTCTACTTTGGCCTGCGGGTAAGTCTGATCCCCACAACTCAGTATCATCATGGGGCCGCTTGTACCCAGGGGCCATGCCCCGTGAGCATCTGCTCTTGCAGAGATGAAGCCCAGTGTTTCCAGGGGGGACAACAGACCCACATTCTGATTTTCAGTCTCTGAGAGAGTCCTTTCCTTAACTTCACATTTTCAGAAGTGCATGTTAAAATCTTGTTCCAAGGAGGCGACCGGGGATTGAAGTAACTATTATACTTCTACTGGCCGACTGTTTCTCATCTCTCTAAATGCAAATGCATTGTTGTCTTAAATGGAGAAAAAAAAAAACTCTTAAAATTATGTTTATTGGGGCTCACTTAGTTGAATCCTGAGAGAACAGTTGTGAGGCTTGAATCGAGGCGGTAGGTTGGTAGAATTTGGGGGCTTGGAGGATTTGTAGTCGAGCCTGTCTATGAGGGGAGCTGTACAGAATGTGTGTTACGGAGATTGTGTGTCCATGTGTGTGTGAGTGGATGCGTACATCGATGCTTTACTTAAGTCATATTTCCGTTAGAGTCTAATGGAAGTGAGACCACTCAAACTCTCCTATGATGCTATTGAAAACCACAGGAAAAGAGATGGCCTGATATTTCTCCAAGGTTAACATAGTCTACAGTCATTCTCTACAAGAGACTGTATAACCGAATTCTAAGACAGAAATGGCCTGTGATTGGTATAGATGTGAGAAGGACATAACATCTCCCTCCAGGCCCCTGTGAAAAACCAAAACATAGCCTTTGGCAAAAGCATATACTTCGAATGCCAGCATCGTGCCTCTCATGTTTTTCTCCTTTCCTCTCTCCCCAGTTTATTGCAGCCAACGATAAGCTGTGGTTCTGGCTGGAAGTGAACTCTGTGGTAGATTTCTTCACGGTCCCCCCAGTGTTTGTGTCTGTGTACTTAAACAGAAGTTGGCTTGGTAAGTCGACCTCTCTTCCTTTCTTCCCACTGGTTCCCAAGCTCTGGTGGATCAGAGGCCTGCGCTGTCCCCACAGAAGGAAAGTTTTATGTATTCGTGTGCACAACTCTTGGAGTTTTGGGAGTTGGTGGTGACAGTTCTCTTTGGAACACTCAGCCAGGAGGATGTGCTGCCCAGTTAGGGCTTCAGCGAAGGCAGTTTTATCCTAATTGAAACCTAGCAGTCACACTCTCCTCGTCGGGACCTCTGCCTCCATGGTTCTGTCATTTTCATCCAACCTGCAGTTAGGACTGGACAGAGAAGCCCGTGGGGACGAGGCCAGATTTCCAAGTAGCTGCTTCGAGTGCCCTAGAAGGCCTGCCTGCCAGACTTACTTCTGTCTGCTTCTTAGTTTTAAGCAGAGTGGGTCCTACCTGGTTTATTTATGGTTATGAGTTCCTCTGTGGGGCAGGGGAGCATCAAGCATCACGAGCCACCTTCTCCTTGAAGGAGATGGAGCCCCCTTCCTGTGTTAAAGGATGAGCTTTTGCTGGTGCTCTGTTCACATCTCACCTGCTGTATCTGCTCAGCAGATCACTTCTTGCCTTGGGACCAGGACACTTTGTTGGGAGAAATAACCAGCTCAGACGATGGTCATGGGAGCCAGGGACAGAAAGAGGCAGCTTCGAGCTTCTCTTGGTTGCACTGAATAATTCTCTCAGAATGTTCCTGCTACTGCAGGGATACAGGGGAAAAGGAAGGCTGAAAAGGGACCCAGAGGACTATTTCTGGGTTCCTTGCAATCATGCCTTCTCCCTGGGATGCTCAGTGTTAACAGACTTCCATCTTTCCTTCATGTCCCTTTGCCCCAAACGTGGATGCACATAGACATGATGGAGCGGTGGTGGTCTTCGTAAAAATAAGTGTGTCCATCACATTGCACTGCAGTTTGATTTTCTTACTAACAAATGATGGGTGTCCCTTCAGCTCTATAATAATTCATTTTATTAGAGTTACACAAAATTCTACAAATTGTTATATCATGGTTCCTCTGGCCATAACCCTAAGGATGGACCACCTGATTGTTTCCTTTTTGCGCTGTAAATGATGGTTTAGTAAACACCCTCATCTACCTATCTGTACAGTTCTGTTTCTCTAGATGGATCCAGGTTCCTGGAAGAGGAATCGCTGGATCAAAGAATGCGTATATTTTAGTTCGTACAGATATTGATGGCTCATTTTTCAAAAATGTTGTGCCAAGATATGCTTCCCCTAGCAATATGTTTTTGATGTCCTTGCTAGCTCTGTGATTTATTATATGCCTAGTATCAAGTATTTAAAAAAAGAAGCACCCTTTCTATATGATGTATGCAGTAATCATGTATGCACATATCAGTGTGTATCTCTGTGTGTGTATCCCATAAAGATTCTATTTTTGACGCGTTTTCTCATTAGAATTCTATTCACTCGCTCAGTGGAAAAGTTTTTATCCTTGATTTGAGACATGCTTGCTTAGATTGGGTTTTCCAGCCAGCATGATGGGACTGTCAGAGCCACCCACAAATCTTGAGAAGTGTTCTGAGTGTGACCTGAATGTGCCCTGGTGCTGAGGGTCCCAGCTACCTCAGCTGGGTTGTTAACTGGCTTTGTGACCTAGGGAGCTCACTTTCCTTCATTCAGCCTGTTGTTTTTCATCTGTAAAATAAAGGTTAGGTTAGATGATTTGATTTTTCCAGTACTTTCAGCTCAGGATGCCTCTAAGACTCTTGCATTGTTCATGGGAAGTTTGGGATCTAGGTTGTGGGGAAGGACTGGGAAGTTAGTGAAATCAAATCATCAACATTTCTGAGGCAAAATTACATATAGGCTGCTAACCAGGGCTCGTCCTAGACCATCCTGTTGTGAAGAGTATACACACACATGCACACACACCCATGTGCATGCACACACCCTGAAAAACTCCGGACAGACAAGGAAAAAAGAAAGGGGAAGAGGGAAGAAGAGAGCAAGAGAGAGGGAGGGAGGAAGGAAAGGAAGAAGGAAGGTAGGAAAGGAATCTGCCTTTTCTTCCCGCCTGTGTTCTAATTACTCTGTGCACTACAACAACCATTTTGCTTTTCTGGACCCTCAGTTTTTCCTTCTGAAAAGTGGGAGGTTTGGACTTCAAATACCTTCTAGTCTTCACATTTCAGGAATCGGAATTTTATGTCAGGGTCCATTCTCTCTTGGTCCCTCGTGGTCCTAGATGATTGAGGAGACCCCTTCAGGACTGTGGTGGAGACACCCCTCCTGCGCAGCGAGCAGGTCTCATCCCAGCTAAGGGTGTGGAGCTGAGTCTCCTTGTGAGACTGAAAGCGTCTTTGTGTCAGGAGAACTTGGATGTTAAAAATTCATGTCTTTTTGTGAATGATTTAATCCTGATTTTTGGAGTTGTGTTCTTGTCTAGTGAAAATCCACTAGAGTGAATAGGAAAAGAAGAAAAAGGAAAAGGAGGAAAAATGAGATACGCTCTTACATCAATTGTGGTTGCTCTTCAAAAAATATGCTCTAAAGCATGCTTCAATTTGTTGATTAATTGAACAATATTTATTAAACACCTACTATGTGCCAGATAATTTTTCAGATGATTAAGAAACAACAGGGAATAATGGGGTGCTGGGTGGCTCAGTCGGTTGAGCATCCAACTCTTGATTTTGGCTTAGGTCATGATCTCAGGATCTTAGGATCAAGCTCTGCTTTGGGCTCCACATTGGGCATGGAGCCTGCTTAAGATTCTCTCTCCCCCTGCCCCTCCCCACACTAAAAAAAGAAAAAGAAACAACAGTGAATACAATAGGCAGTGTCCTACCCTGTAACATTGCAGTGGGGGAAGAACAGGAAAAAAACGAACCTAATAAATAAGCAAATATGTAGTACATTAGGAAGCACAAGTGTGTTGAAACTGAAAACAGACCAACAAACTTTTGGACTATGAAATAATAAAAATAACAACAGGAAATAACCTTTCTCCTCTTACAGGAGAAGGCACCTTCAATGAAATACTTTGGGTTCTTTAGTAACTAAGCCCCTTGGGTGAGATCCACCCCTGGGCTGCCTGTTATGGAAGAGAATTCAGTATAATAATATTTCAAGGAGGCTCCCGTGTCTGATTTAATACACGGGTTTATTACATCATGAAACAATTATTGTGCCGACGAGCTGCCAGAGATAAAATGAACATTCCCACGAGGTATGGCTTACAAAGTAGGAGGAATAATCCCATTAAGTGGGGGCATTTCAGGAAGTGCTGCCCTCCTCCTGGAAAATGAAAAGGTACTACCTTTACTGGCAGAGGTTTGGTATAAGATGAGGAAGCTGCAGTCTGTTCTCTTCTCTCGCACACACCTGCTGAGCCCTGCGTAGCTGAAACCATGTGGGTACAAAACAGAATGAGTGCCGTCACCCCCACCCTTACCTTCTCTGGAGCATAACACCCACCACGCTTGATTTCTTATCATCATATATAGTTGCGTATTATATAGCATAGTATTCATGTACTTTATTGTATATATTCTCTTAGTGCATCTGACGGCATATTACTAATAACAGCTAATTCCAGTTGGACTATGTGCTGGGCGCTCTGATAAGCCCTTTATACACATGAACTCACTTAATTCTCAGAGCAGACCTGTGAGCTGGGAATTATTTTCCCCCATTTTGAAGATAAGGAAACAGGCTCAGAGATGTTCATTCCTGTCCAAGGTCGCATAGCCTGGGAGTGGCAGAAGGGATGATTTGCCTCCAATTTGGTCTGACTTTATGTCCATATTCATGCTGCTCTTCTGCCTCTGTCCTTACCCTTAAAAGATTGGGGGGTTTGAGGACTGGGTTGGTGTGACTGAGCTGGTTTTGCTCATTTCTGTTGGCACCCCTCCATCTCTCCTTACTCAGAGAGCTTCACTTCAGGCAGGCAGGGAGGGGAAGAGATCTTATTTAAGAACACACATCCTCATGCCTCCTCCTCTCCTTCCCACTCCTCCTTGTCCACCTCCAGTTTCTAGAGTTGCCACTAGGACCCAGGAAACACAGAGAGCTTGTGTGGTGTCTCCTGATTCCCAAGGTACCTTAGCACCTTGGCGATCAGATCTGCTTTACCTGAGAGAGAGGGAGAGACTAGGGGCTTCCACACATGCAGTCAATGGAGCGGAGTGGGTCAAGCCAAGCTCTGGGTTACAACCTCAATTCACAGCTTGGCTTGGCCAATGGGTCACTTTGAGCAAGGTCATTTTACCTGTCTTAAACTCAGTTTTCCACCTGTCCAATGAATGGGGGTAATCGTAGTACTCACCTCATAGGGTTGTTGAGGGGATTCAGTGAGGCAGAGTCAGTAAAGTACCACGTACATAGGACGAGCTTCATGATTATCCCTGGCTTGTCTTTCTAACCTACCTATCATATTTTAAAGTACTGAGGAAGAAAACAAACCAGAACAGAACCAAAAATAAGGCAGTGGGATGTGAGGACATCCACGTCGGCAGGCGGCAAGTCGCTGCTAATTTTAATTCCTGTTCCCACACACCAGCTTATTCATTTTTGTTTCTCTCACAAAATCCTTATCCTACCTAACTAAAATAAATGTACCTTGAAATGAGAGATGTATTTTATTTTGAGAGTAGAATAACATGCTCTGGGGAGAACTCTTCTGTCTGTCTCCTTTGGGGAACTGTATCCCCAAGGTAGGTCAACAGGCTGTCCTCCTTTGTGTCTTGATTTATGTGGTTTTGTTGAGGGTCATTTTGTGTGGTTAGGAGAAGAGAGTAGAGAAAAAAATAATGAGGCGCTTACTGGCCACTCATCTCACTAGCTTTTATTGAGCGCTTACTGTGTGCTCAGCAGTAAGATGAGGGGGGCATGTCTGGCCACCCTCTTTCCTAGTCTTGCTATGATTTCCAGCATTGTCCCTCTTCTCTGGCTAATGAAGTCAGGGGACGGTAAGAAGCCCCAGACCTTGAACCCAGGGTGGAAAAACTGTAAACAGTAAA